TAAAAATAAAGTAGTTGGCATGGTGTGCATGTCTGTATTCCCAGCTATCTGAAGAAGGCCGAGGCAGGAAGATAGCTTGAGCCCAGGAATTCCAGGTGTGTGCGCTATGATAGTACCACTGTACTCCAGCTAGGGCAACAGAAGACCCTACCTGTGGGGGAAAAATAATTAATTAAATTGCCATAAATTAAAAATTCGCTTTCTCAGTTGCACTAGCCACACTCCAAATAAGCAGGAACCACATAGACGGGTGGTTACTATCTGGACAGAGCAAATGCAGATACCCATCCCTGCAATCATAGACAGCATCTGTGCCAAAATTCTAGCCCCGATTATCCAGGGACGCAAGCCAATAAATTCCTTTTGGTATAAGTTAATTGAAGTTAAGTTTATTCACTATCCAGAGAATTCCAAGGCAAAATCCTCCCAATTAACACTGGGGAAAATGTGACCACTGACCATTCACAGATACGGGGATCATTTGGGGGTCTTCCTCCCACTCAGGTCAGTGCCAAAGAAAATCACCACTGGGTTCAGAAAGGTAGTTAAGCAGCCTGTATTCAAGAATTGGGTTAGAATGCACTAGAGAGTAAGGGCCTTCCGTTTCTTTATATTCTATTACGCAGTGAAGGCTGCTTTTAGAATAAACTTCATCCCCCAAAGAGGGCTGTTATAAATGGAAAAACACCTAAATACTGTTTGTAAATACAAACTCTGCTCAATTTTAATATTAATTTATAAGATACACATCAAGAGTTGTAAGACAACTGGATAAACCCATTAACCTTTAAAATATTATCTAAATGTTACTTGCGTTTAGGGAAGAACTTGGTAGACTACTACATACTAAGGACTGTTATTTGAGACTTACTGTCATCCTGGGTGGAGTGCCCTGGTGTCATAGCTCACAGCAACCTCCTCAAACTCTTGGGCTCAAGTGATCCTCTTGCCTCAGCCACCCAAGTAGCTGGGAGGACAGGTGCCCACCACAAAGCCTGGCTAGTTTGTAGAGATGGGGCCTCTAGCTCAGGCTGGTCTCAAACTCCTGAGCTCAGGCAATCCACACACCTTGGCCTTCCAGAGGGCTAGGATTACAGGCGTGGGCCACTAAGGACTTTTCAATCAATCTGCCAGGTTCCTTTCTATTGACCTTGCGATAGCCAGATGCCCGCCAATGACAATTAACAGACTGCACGTGTACTTCCTGTGGGCAGTGAAGACTTCATTTTGGTTTCCAAAATCCTTTCTGACAGCACTTAGGTGGCACGTTAAGTGATACTGTAGCTAGGAGGCACCACCAGATTTTGCTTTACCCTTACTGGTTAACAGCCACTATCACCGAGTGATACACTGTCTCAAGATAGCAAAGACTTTCAATGTCTTGAAAGCAAGCCACTCTCAAACTTCTTTTAGGGCTCTACTGCTGAGTCACTGATACACACTCTTAAAGCTCCACTATACAAATGAAAACTTCCCTCAAAGTAAAAGGGAAAATAAAACAATCAGCAGTGGTTTTATCAATGGCTGTTAAACATTTGAGCACCTAAAGGCACATATCCAGAATAGAGGGGTTTTTTGTTTTGTTTTTGAGACAGAGAGTTTTGCTTTGTTGCCCTCAGCAGAGTGCTCTGGCGTCACAGCTCACAGCAACCTCAAACTCAGGGGCTCAAGCTATTCTCTTGCTTCAGCCTCCCAAGTAGCTGGGACTATAGGCGCCGGCCACACCTGGCTATTGGTCTGGAACCTGTGAGCTCAGGCAGTCCATCCACATCAGCCTCCCAGAGTGTTAGGATTACAGGTGTGAGCCTGAGCGCCCAGGTAGCTTTCTTCATAAATTTTAGTTTGTTCTCAAGATCAAATGTATTGAGTTCTTAGAAACTAGGAAGCAGTACGAATTTTAGATGCAAACCATACTGGGGTCATATTTTGGGGGTGAAAGCGATGTTTTAGCCGCATACCATTGTTTCACGGACCCTGGAACCCAGGGAAGATTTATGAAGTATTGAATGCAATGTAAACAAACCATGGTGTTCGAGTTCTACTCAAGGGATTGTCGATGTTTTTAAATCGGAGAGAAGGAATTAGAGGATTACTGTTTGGCAGAAGAGTTAGTGCAAAGAGCAAGCAAACTAGTGACACGGTGACTAATTCAGGATTAGAAATGGCTCCGAAAGGGTTAGTTGTATCTCAGGACTTTTAAATTTTTCAGTATAAACTGAATTTAATCCACACAGACCATACTATAGAGGTGTAGTAAGTACAACTAAGCGAATCTGGATTTCAAAAGATAAACTGTCACATTACAAACTCCTTTTGTTTCCCATAATATTAGCAATGTTAAAGATAACTTTGAGTGAATATCATGCATGCTCTCTCCTGCTATTAGAATTAACTACACTTTAAATGTTATCTTCCAGTCATATGGTGACACATAGTTGCAGTAAATGCACATATAATTTGGTATTATCTTTTAACAATGAAAAGGAAGCAAGGATCTTGTTATAACTTAATCGGTTTCTTCCAACCCCTTTTCTTTTTTTTTTTTTTTTTGAGACAGAGCCTCAAGCTGTCCCCCTGGGTAGAGTGCCATGGCATTACAGCTCACAGCAACCTCCAACTCCTGGGCTTAAGCGAGTCTCCTGCCTCCGCCTCCCAAGTAGCTGGGACCACAGGCGCCCGCCACAACGCCTGGCTATTTTTTGGTTGCAGCCGTCATTGTTGTTTGGCGGGTCCGGGCTGGGGATTCGAACCCGCCACCTTAGGTGTACATGGCTGGCACCTTAGCCGGTTGAGCTATAGGCGCCGAGCCCCAACCCCTTTTCTATAATGGGTGTTCAGTAAATATTTGTGGGTGACTTTTCATATAACTTCAAACAAGAAAGTAGCCTTTATACAAGTCTATCTTTATTTGTAAAAAATAATATACAACTAAAGCTAATTTGATTTTTAAAATCAAAATTCATTTAGTGATAATGTACATTTTATAATAAAATTGTAGTAAAATACTGACATTTGATAGTTTAAACAAAGTATCATTCATGTAAAAATCATGTTATAGCATGTAAAATTTAATTAGAAAATTCATAGTTCACAAAAGTACATATATTTTGTTGATAGCTCAAGGACATTATCTTAAATTTACTTAAGATACAGAACAAAATTCACAGTTAGGCTTGACATTTAGTACTATAAAATTTTACACTGGACCCACTGATTTTTGTTACTATGGTACACTTGAAATAATTGATTCTACTAACGAATTAATATTTTATTGTATAACCAATACTGGTTTTACAATACGTCCAGTAATCAATTATTTCACCAATAATTTAAATGACAGAAATCTAGTTGGAAACACCACTGACATAGACCTTTAGCGGAATAATTAAAACAAAAAGCACTAGCAGCTTTGATTTCCATTTTCATGAACGCATACAAGATAAATCTGTATTTTACAGTTAAAATTTGTACAAAAAGTCAAGCCCTGAAGTATTTTTCCCCCAAGAGAAAAGTTTTGATGTTAAAACTTTGTTAAAAAAAAAAAAAGAGAGAGAGGTAGTGTGTAAAAATATTTTTACTTAAAATGTTGAACCCCTGCACCACTTATATTATAAATGAAATTTAACCTTCTACATATTAACATTAGTTTGCCATTCAAGAGTCAAACTTATAAGACTCCCAGAATGTTAAACCGGAATGCCATTAAAAAAAAAGTGGTATATAAATGGAAGAATGGTGAATTCAACAAAAAGTACATTGTATGATGTGCAGCTCATAGTTCACTGATAATATGCGTAATAATGTGAACACAATGCATGGAAGTATTCCAGGTTACATGATCTTCATTTAATCAAGACTTCTTCATATATTTTACCATATAGAGAAAACATCCTTCAAAACGGAGTCATTTGAATCTTCATTGTTTTCATAGCACACAATTGTTAAAAAGGTATTCGTACTAGCCCTACCATAAAATTAATTAATAAATAACTCTTCATAAGCCATAGGGAACTTATGTACTTCATAATAGACTTAGTTTCTATATACAAGCATACCATTGTGCTTCTGCACATTGTACAGTGAAATCAGGCAAGGAACGACTGTTAGCAGCCTCACTCTTAACATGTTCTAAGTGGATGCACTAGGAAGTAATAAATAGCCTCATAAAATTAATAGTGAAAAATCTTACCTGTCACAGGAGAATACTACATATTTTTCATAAAGTGTAGGCAGTGTTTCTATAAATCCTATCAAAGGAAAACCCAACTTTTTTGTATAAAAAGTGCACAAGGTTGTCCTGTGTGTAAAAATCTCTTAATTTGGGTGCATTTTTAATCCAAAATGATTTGTAACTGAATACATTAAGAGCATAAAAGGACACCAACTAAAGACACTAACAACACACAGAGTGATTTCCAGTGAGATTGGGAATGAGGAAAGAATAGATTAGAGCAGAGTCTCCCAGTATTTCCAGAGTCACTGAAATTGCCTTTGAAACATAAATTGTACCTTCACGGGATTAGTTTGAAAATGCGAAAGTGAGGCACAGGTATAAGACGAACAACAATGTGCACAACTGCTATAGAGTGTCTAACTCAGGCACACAGCTTTGATGCTTTGACAGTTCACATGACAAGCCACGCCTGAAAACAGCTAAGTGGTTTGATTCCTTAGAAATCAGGGAAAAAAATGCATTGGGCCGTGCCTGTGGCTCAGTGAGTAGGGCACCGGCTCCATATACCGAGGATGGCGGGTTCAAACCCGGCCCCAGCCAAACTGCAACAAAAAATAGCTGGGCGTTGTGGTGGGCGCCTATAGTCCCAGCTACTCGGTAGGCTGAGGCAAGAGAGTCGCCTAAGCAAGTTGGAGGTTGCTGTGAGCTGTGATGCCATAGCGCTCTACTGAGGGTGACAAAGTGAGACTCTGTCTCTTAAAAAAAAAAAAGAAAGAAAGAAAAAAATGCATTTATAAAATAATTTGTTACAATTAGTAATGGAGGAACAACATCAAAAAAAAAAAATCAAAGTAAGACACTGGGAACATAATAGCTGAGGCCCCCAACGTACCAAGAGAGATAGGATCAGACTTCTTCACATTAGAATTTTTAAAATATAAAGGAAAAATTAAGTGGGCTCTGCACAGCAGGTTTAATCTGCAACCACTTCAAGCAGAAATGATCCAGTCCTCTCACACAGTTATGAGAATGTGCTTCAACATCCAGTTCTCCAGACAAAATAACAAAAGCACGTAATTTCATTAGCAAAGGCCCCTTTGTTTTAGACTTAAATTCACCTCTGATCCACCAAAATTTATATTAACAATTGTCAAACTACTATTTTAATAATATTCTAAGCTTGCAATATTTTCTCATGCCCATTCCACATCACTGGTCAGAGGTATATGCGCTTTAAACTAGCCAGATGCACAGGTCCCCACGGCGTCCTCCCTCAGAAAACATGCACACAGGGTTTCACAATGTTATGATTGTCCCATCTTCTTCTAAGAGTTTCTGATCTGGAGCATGTGTTTCAAATTCTGTGTTTGTACCACTTGCTACCGGTGCTAAGCTCACTTCATTAGAGGGAATAAAACCATTCTGTCCAGACTCAAAATTGAGCTCTATTTGCGTTAATGATTCCAGGCTCTCGGTATTAGGAACAGCTTTTGGAATCTGCTGTGGCACACCACTGTCCTCTATAATAATGTCATCTTCCTCACTGTCTTCATCTTCTGGCTCGAAGCTTGGTTCCATCTGCTGTGGATAGCCAAGAAGGCTATTATCAGTAGACTGGCCAGAGCTGCCGGAAGTCCGACTGTTCCTGACAACGTTATTCCTCTGGTTTGCTGGTCTCACTGTTATGATGAGGTTGCGGCTGTTTGCAATCATCATGTCGGTTACTTGATCAAGACTCTTCCCTGAAACTTCTATGCCATTCACTTCTAAAACTTCATCATTAACAGCTAACAGTCCTGTGCTTTGAGCCAGACCTCCTGGGACAAGCCTGGATATAAAGATCCCTGGGACCTTCTCTAAGCCATGTGGTGTCACCCTGACACTGGAGCCATCCCGGATGTAGAATCCCAGGGGTTTCTCCATGCCGTATTTGTAAAGACGAACCCTACGATGTGTTTCCGGGAGAATATCCACATCTATGATAGAAGACACAGGTCTGAAGTCTTGGGGCATACTAATGACTATGTGTGGCTTCTTTCTGTGGTTGTCAGGACGCAACACATTGGTTAAAACGTTCTTCTTCTTTATTAGTGTGTCTGTACCAAAGGCACTATAGTCCGCTTCTTCTGTTTAAAAATAAAATAGAAGAATTATAGAAATGCTATAAAAATATCCATTTACCTATGGTTGAATATGTACAGAAAGGTTAATTCAAATCCATTTGGTTACATAAACTAGCAAAATAGTGGATTAGCTTATTCTAATCAAACCATAATGTTATACAGTAGTAAAATGTCATACCATAAAAGACCACCAGGTGGCCATCTAAAATGCACATCACAAAATTACCAAATGTTAGAAGTTAAATTTGATAATGCTTTACTACGTATACATTAAACATGGCAAATGAGATTCTGACAGATCTTACAAACACATCCTTGAAGATTTTAAACCTGCTACTTAAAATATATTTTTGCTTCCTTTGTTTAAAAACCCTGCAATTTGTACACATATCATATTCAGCTCAGAGATATGAAATGGGACATTTAATTTCCAAGGTAAATCAAAACAGCAAAATCTGTAACATAGTAATATATCTGTACTACCAGGTGGATGGGCAAATAATATAATTAAATGAAGCTGGTACACACTGAATACACAGGAATTTTACTCACTGAGCCACAGGCACTGCCCCCAGGCAGGGTTTCTTATGCCAGAAAACCTTGTTTTTGATTGCTGCTACCACCACCAACAAAAAACCTGTTTGGGGGTGGCACCTATGTCTCAGTGAGTAGGGCGCCGGCCCCACACACCGAGGGTACCAAGTTCAAACCCAGCTCCAGCCAAACTGCAACAAAAATAGCTGGGTGTTGTGGCTGGTGCCTGTGGTTCCAGCTACTTGGGAGGCTGAGGCAAGAGAATTGCCTAAGCCCAGAAGCTGGAGGTTGTTGTGAGCTGTGTGATACCACGGCACTCTACCGAGGGCAACAAACTTGAGATTGTATCTAAAAAAAAAAAAAACCTGTTCGGGCGGAAGAATTCATTCCTAAAGCCACCAATTTATACTCTGACATAAACTAAGGGAAAACAGAACACCTACCACCAGATATTTTAAGTTACATGGCTGCAAGAAGATATTCTGTAGACAAAACATCTCATCAGCTAAAGAGAGGTAAAAAAGATCAATACAAGAACAGAAGTTGAAATCATATTTTAAAAAATAACTGAACTGACGATAAACTAAAAGGCAAAATTTCCAAGGATTAGAGAAAAAAATTTGATAAAAAATAAAAGAAAACAAGGGCTTCCCCTCACCCCTGCAAAAGAAATAGTTCAAAGTCCCAGCCTCAGCCCTAGAACAGATAGCACTAGCAGGGCCATCTCTAAGGGCTTCAGAATTCCTCACCCCTCACCAGAGCGCTATTACCATCTTCATCACTCTACAGAAAAGGAAATTCAGGGTATAACATAAGTTACAGAGAAAAGCTTGGAACCCAGGTTTTCTTTCTTTCTTTCTTTTTTTAGAGACAGAGTGTCACTTTGTTGCCCTGGGTAGAGTGTTGTGGCCTCACAGCTCACAGCAACCTCCAGGTCTTGGGCTTAGGTGATTCTCTTGCCTCAGCCTCCCTAGTAGCTGGGACTACAGGTGCCTGCCACAAGGTCCGGCTATTTTTTGCTGCAGTTTGGCCAGGGCCGGGTTTGAACCCACCACCCTCAGTATATGGGGCTGGCACCCTACTCACTGAGCCACAAGCGCCGCCCAAGGAACTTAGGTTTTCTTACCCCAGTTTCTTCCCAAGCTCACATAGTGAATGCTAAGTAACAACTGTGTGTCAGAGTATGGAGAGTTCTAGTATTATTTTCTGATGTTGCATCAATATTCTTCAGAACCTAGTTTCAAATAAATATACAAGACTAGGGGGAGCTTATTTTTTGGCATCCTCCCACCCCTGGACACTTTTGTCTTCATTTATACACTGTGTTCTTACAGAGACAAATGTATAATATGGCTTTGGAAATAAATCCATTTGTACAAGAATTTTTTGGCAAAATTTGATCAAAAGCTTATCAAGAGTCCTCTACTGATGTGTCTTCTTAAAATTACATATATTTTTATTTTAAAGTAATCAAAAACAGAAGCCTACATAATAGTATCTATAAGGGAAATTCCAGACCATATAAACTGAGAACAAAATCAAGTTGCCTAAGTACCTACTCATGGGAAACCTGACCAAACCCCCCCCCCAATCTGCATAATTTGGCATTGCCTGCAGACTCTATTTGAATGCTTTCTGCTAAATTCTCAAAAGCAATATGCCCCACGTACAAAGGCACCTTTGTTCTCCCATCTAGCTAATCAGTTTCCAGCCACTGGGAAAGAAAATATTTTGGCAGAAAGCCAGGGTGCAGGGTGCTAGTTTAAAGTGTAAAGGTGAATGTCCCTAAGTAACTGAGTTGACTTTCTACCTGAGCTAAGCATATCAGAGCACTCAACTCTGAATGAGATGGAAACTCAATTCACAGCAACTTTCCACTTATAAACTCAGACATAAGCGAGAGTACATAACAGAGGCCGATATAGCAATAGCTCACTTTTCCCCTGTCTTTCAGCCACGGATCCTGGCTAACTAGAACAGACAAGGATCCATCTAGAAGGCCTCTGAATAGTCAAACTGGACGTCTTACTTTCCTACACACAAAAAGCCCCTGTGCTGTACTTACAGAGGAGCCCTGCAGGGCCTCCCTCTGAACCTCTTACTCTTTAAACATTAATTCTGAAAAAAGCCTAGTAATCTCATTCCTTAGCTCACAGAGGGTCATAAGTTACACATTCAGAGTGAGGGGTAAGGGTCCCCGTGTGAGCAGCAGGCACAAACACAAGAAAAAGCACAAGCTATACACTCCACAAGCATGCCTACACAGCAACTAAACAGCAATGTTACACGGTGCAGTCATCAAGCAAGTTCAAGAGTGGGCTCCACTTGAAGCTTGGAGGAAGGCAGGAAAAAATGAAATAATTTTTCTTTCTTTTTTTTTTTTTTTTTTTGAGACAGTCTCACTTTTTTACCCTGGGTAGAGTGCTGTGGCATCACAGGTCACAGCACCCTCAAACTGTTGGGATCAAGTGGTTCTATTGCCTCAGGTTTTCATTTTTTAGTAGAGACAGGGTCTCTTGCTCTTGCTCAGGCTGGTTTTGAACTCATGAGCTCAAGTGATCCACCTGCCCTGGCCTCCCAGAGTGCTAGGATTATAGGCATGGGCCACCTCGCCCAGCCTGAAATAGTTTTTAAAAGTGTCCTAATACAGGTTAACAACCTTTTTCTGTCAAGAGTCAGTAAACAGGCAAGGCGTAGTGGCTTACACATGTAATCCTAGCACTCTGGAAAGCTGAAGCAGGTAGACCGCTTGAGCTCAGGAGTTTGAGATCAGACTAAGAGTGAGATCCCATCTCTACTAAAAATAGAAAAACTAGCTTGAAGTCCCAGCTACTCCAGACGCTGATGCAAGAGGATCGCTTAAGTCCAGGAGTTTGAGGTTCCTGTGAGCCCTGACTCTACCCCACTCTACCCCCAGGCTAGGGAGCAAGATTGTCTCAAAAAAAAAAAAAAAAGTCAGTGAATGTTTTAGGTATTGCAGGCCCTACAGTCTCTCCTGCAAAAACAGCCATAGGCAATAGATAGAACAGGAATGGTTGTGTTCCAAGAATGCTTTATTTACAAGAACAGCCAGCAGGCGTTAGTCTGCTAACCCTTGGAAAAACCCAAATTGTTTAAATGAAATAGATATGGCAACTCTCAAAAGATTAAACATCACTTAAAGAAAATTAGATATTCAAATTTTGCAGACCCCTTTACTTCCCACTATAAAATCAGCCACCATGGCTCAACCGGCTAAGGTGCCAGCCATGAACACCTAAGGTGGCGGGTTCGAATCCCCAGCCCGGACCTGCCAAACAACAATGATGGCTGCAACCAAAAAATAGCTGGGCGTTGTGGCGGGCGCCTGTGGTCCCAGCTACTTGGGAGGCGGAGGCAGAAGCTTGAGCCCAGGAGTTGGAGGTTGCTGTGAGCTGTAATGCCACGGCACTCTACCCAGGGGGATAGAGCTTGAGGCTCTGTCTCAAAAAAAAAAAAAAAAATCAGCCACCAAATATTTGATAAATATGCCAGGCATTGTACTCTGTGGTGCAGATTCAGTGAACAAAACATACACAATGACTGCTTTCATGGTCCGAAAGAGGAGATGGCAACTAACAAACAATTTCAACTACTGTAATTAAATTATGGCAAAGGTGCCCAGAGCTGCTAAGCAGCTCACCATGCTGGGGAGAGTGTAGTGTGTGACGGGCACCTAGCATGGCTTGCAGGGAAGGAAAAGTGAGACTTCTATGGGAACTGGAAAAGCAGCCAGTGGCTAATCCAGGCACAGGATACAAAAATGTAGAGAAAAGTAAGGGAAGGTAAGTCAATATAGCCAGGATGGAGGGTGCAAGGGGAGAGGGAAGGGTCAGGAGCCAAGTCAGAGGCAGCTAGAGGCCAGCCAGACAAGCTGGGCCACCTGGGAAGTGTTAAGGCTTCTGGACTTTAGCCTAAGGGCAAGCGGAAGTCTCCAAGGACTTTAAAGGAGAGGGTGAAGGTAATCTCTGGTGTTCTATAAAGCTTTTTCAGGCTACAGGCTGGGGATGGACTCCAGGACAGGAGGCCCCTGCAGTGATTTGGGATGGTTTCTGGCCAGGAACAGAGGCAGTGGAGACAGAAATAAATTTGAAAAATAATTAGAACACAGTTTTAACAGGCTTGATGACTGATTTAAACACAGGTATGTGTCAAAAGTTATAAATAAGTCATGAGCAACTAGTAATCATACTGAGATGTCTCTTCCTAATTTCTGGGGCTATACCTTTTATTAAACTATAGCTTACAATTCATTACTAAAATGCATAACCCTAGCTCAGTGCCTGTGGCTCAGCGGCTAAGGCGCCAGCCCCATACACCTGAGCTGGCGGGTTCAAATCCAGCGCAGGTCCACCAACCAACAATGACAACTACAACCAAAAAATAGCCAGGTGTTGTGCTGGGCGCCTGTAGTCCCAGCTACTCAGAAGGCTGAGACAAAAGAATCACTT